CGCCTCAGCCTCCCAAAGTGCTGGGATTACAGGCTTGAGCCACCGCGCCCGGCCCCACGTAGATTTTTATACTGTATTCTGGTGCATGTATTGGGAAGAACTGGAAGGAAGGAAGGAGGGAAGGAGGGAGGGAGAGAGGGAAGGAAGCAAACAAAGTGAGTCCTGTGTAGCACGTGTCATGCGCGGGGGCAAGGGGAGTCCTGCAGGGTGAGGTATGGGGGAGATGGCACTGCGAGGGTCCAGAGATGTAGGGATCAGGAGATGTGCGGTCCGGCAACATGTGGTTCCTGAGATGTGTGGTCTGGAGATGTGCGGGTACCCAGAGGTGCAGATTGGAGATGTGGGGGGCCAGAGATGTGCAGATCAGGAGATGTGGGGGTCCCAAGGTGTGCGGATCATAGATGTGGGGGTCTGGAGATGTGCGGATCAGATGTGCGGACTGGAGAAGCACAGATCCAGAGAAGCGCAGATCAGGACATGTGCGGATCAGGAGCTAGGTGAATCAGAGATGCAGGGATCCAGAGACGTGCGGGTCTGAAGCTGAGCAGAGCCGAGATGTGCGGATTGCAGATGCGCAGGTTCAGAGATGCAGGGTCCAGGGACGTGCGGACTGGAGATGTGCGGGTCCAGAGTTATGGGGGTCCTGAGGTGTGCGGGTCTGGTGATGCGCAGAGCACACATATGCGGATCAGAGATGCAAAGTCAGGAGATTTGTGGGTCCAGAGGTGTGCGGGTCCAGAGACGTGTCAATCTGAAGATGTGTGCATAGGAGATGTGCAGATCGGAGATGTGCGGATGGGAGATGCGAGTCTGGAAATGTGTGATCAGAGGCGCACGGGTCGGGAGATGTGTGATCAGAGGCGCGCGGGTCGGGGGATGTGTGATCAGAGGCGTGCGGGTCGGGGGATGTGTGATCAGAGGCGCGTGGGTCGGGGGATGTGTGATCAGAGGCGAACGGGTTGGGGGATGTGTGATCAGAGACCTGCTGGTCCAAGCTTGGGGTCAAATTAGCAGCAGTGAGAGAGAGCAGGCTGGCTTTGGAAGCACAGCACAATGGCAGTTGTAGGAGTGCAAGAGGGTGTGACCTAGAGGCAGCCAATCCCAATAACTCAGCATGCATCTTTGTGGTCACCTTTGGTCTTAACCACACAGTCTAGCCAAAGAGCCCTGGTGTGACACTTGTACCCAAGAAGAGACTGAGTTTTGTCAAATTGCAGTAAGTGTGGTTGATGCACACTTACTGTGCATAAATGCAGGCCCAGCCGTGAGTGGATGTTCTGCCAACTGGCTCATGCCTCAGCACTAGAGGCCTCGTGCGAAATTACATCCTCATAGACCCTGTTCAGACACAGGAGAGTAACGCTGGACTATTCATCTGTCTCTCCTTTTTTTCCCCAGACACACTTTCACCAGCTTCAAGCCCCTCCTCGGTGACTTGCCCTGTGGTCCCTGGCAGTGTGGACGAGTCTCCCAGTGGAGCACTGAACATCGAATGTAGAATCTGCGGGGACAAAGCCTCGGGCTACCATTATGGAGTCCACGCCTGTGAAGGCTGCAAGGTAGAGGGGACCTGGAACAGGGCCCAATGGCTGCCACCATCAAACACTTGTGGTTACTTTTATAGCAAATGGCAGTCATTACTGAGTGATCTCAGAAAGTCCCAGATAAGAAAGTGACCTCAGGCCAGGCACCATGGCTCATGCCTGTATTTCCAGCACTTTGGGAGGCCAAGGAAGGTAGATCATCTGAGATCAGGAGTTTGAGAACAGCCTGGCCAACATGGTGAAACCCAGTCTAAAAGGACCAAAAAAATTAGCCAGGTGTGGTGGCAGGCACCTGTAATCCCAGCTACTCAGAAGGCCGGGGCAGGAGAATCGCTTGAACCCGGTAGGCAGAAGTTGCAGTGAGCTGAGATTATGCCACTGCAGTCCAGCCTGGGTAACAAGATTGGGACTTTGTCTCAAAAAAGAAAACGAAAAAAAGAAAAAGGAAGGAAAGAAACTGACCTCAGTAATAGATTAGCCTCTCTCTTTAGAACACAGAACCCCTGAGAGCATGAACCCTATTGTGAATTGCGGATTTGAGGGATCTAGCTTGTATGCCCCTTGTGAGAATCTAATGCCTGATGAGCTGAGGTGGAACAGTTTTATCCCAAAACCATCCCTCCCCTACCCCCACATCTGTGGAAAAATTGTCTTCCATGAAACCAGTCCCTGGTGCCAAAAAGGTTGGAGATCACTGCTTTAGAGAGTCTAGGACAAATGGTTCTTCTGTGCTTTGTAAATACTTACAGAAGTATGTTCTTTAAAATAAAATAAACCACATTGGGCCAGGCGTAGTGGCTCACACCTGTAATCTCAGAACTTTGGGAGACTGAGGCAGGCAGATCACCTGAGGTCAGAAGTTCAAGTCTAGCCTGGCCAACATGACAAAACCCTGTCTCTACCAAAAATATAAAAATTAACAGGGTATGGTGGCAGATACCTATAATCTCAGATACTTGGGAGTCTGAGACAGGAGAATCACTTGAACCTGGGAGGCAGAGGTTGCAGTGAGCCAATTTCACACCATTGCACTCCAGCCAGGGCAACAAGAATGAAACTGTCTCAGAAAAAAGAAAACAAGCCACATTAAGAATGATCACTTCATTTGAATACAAGACAGAGAGCCTTTACCATTGATCTCTAGACCCTTCCTGAAAGCCAGGTAGGGCGGGTGTTCTCATGCTCCTGCCAGAGGAATTGGCCATCAGAGACACAGAGTATCTTTCTCAGGGTCCCACAGTGCCCAGCAGCAGGGACTAGAACCAGAGACTGGCTGTTCCTGCCCCCCGGCTGTTCCTTCCTGCACATCAGTGGCTTCTCCACCTGATTCCAGCCATAGGAACCCCCTGTGTATCTTCATGCTGGCTCAGCCTGCCCTAAACAGATGTGACCCAGGCCAGGAGTGCATGAAGGCGGCCCTGTTGTCCCACATGCTGCCAGTGGACTGGTGGTCCTTCCGTGTTTGCCAGCGTGGTGATGAGGAGAGCCCCTGCAGCGTTTCTTTAGGATTACAAAGACATGCTCTCAAATATGGTGCCTTATGTACATAACATGTAGGAAATCATCATCTGAATATTTGCTTTGAATAAGAAATCCCTTCTCACGGCACATGCTGCAGGTGTTCACTAACTCGGAAAATGCCACCGCCTTTCTGGCACAATCTAAGATCTTGGAACACCAGCATTCTGCCCCAAGCCAGGCCTGGCCTGGGAGGCCTGGGCTACAGGGAGAACCTCATGGCCAGGACATCGTGGCATTCTGCCATCTAGAACCTTCTCCCTCCACCCTTCCCATTCTAATCCCATGTGTTCCTTAGCCTCCCCATTGTGCTAAGCTTAGGTAAGGACATCATGGAGACATCAGCCTGCCTCCCACATTCCCCAGCCCACTGCTGTCCCTCTCCCATGGGCCAAGCAGACCCACTGTGGCAAAAATATAGAAGAATGACTTAAAAACAGAGGAAAAAGAACCCGAAGCAAAAACGAACTGCTTCACAAGTTTTGCAGCCACGTACCTTTGAAAAAGCTCCTTATAGCCTGGCACGGCAGATCACTCCTGTAATGGCAGAACTTTGGGAGGCTAGGCTGGTGGATGACGAGGTCAGGCATTCGAGACCAGCCTGGCCAACATGGTGAAACCCTGTCTCTACTAAAAATACAAAATATTAGCCAGGCGTGGTGGCAGGCACCTGTAATCCCAGCTACTCAGGAGGCTGAGGCAGGAGAATCACTTGAACCTGGGAGGCGGAGTTTGCAGTGAGCCGAGATTATGCCACTGCACTCCAGCCCAGGCAACAATGCGAGACTCTGTCTTAAAAA